ACTCGTTGGCATGTTATGCAACTATTACACGCTTGTTTAGCTACAGCGTACATGCCTATACGTATATATTTTCTTAATACGGTGTCACACATTGCCTGGACTCCCCAGTGGCTTCCTTGGTGTAGAACGGCTAACATTTCTCTCATTATCTGTTTGTTTACCATTTCTCTCCCATCAGGGAGAGTCCACCGTCCTTCGGACTCCTTTGCTCCTAATTCCCTAAAGGCTTCTATTTCCTTTTTACTGAATATTTGCTTTTCAGGTGGAGGTTTTATTTCAGGTACAAGAAGCAGCTTTGCTTCTACCTCTCATTGCAAAGCTGCTTCTTTAGCCTTTTCATCTGCAATCCTGTTTCCCCATTTAACTAGGGAGTTTCCTTTTCGATGTCCTTTCACGTGCACCACAGCAACCTCCTCTGGTAGTAACAGACTTTCCAAAATCTGTCTAATTAATTCTTCATGAACCAATTCCTTTCCCTTCCTGTTTACTAAGCCCTTTTCTTCCCATATTTTTCCAAATGCATGTACCACCCCATATGCATATTGTGAGTCAGTATATATAGTTCCCTGTTTCCCTTTTAATTATTTTAATGCTTGATTTAATGCATATAATTCACAGGTTTGAGCTGACCAATTGCTAGGCAGTCTTCCCATTTCTTCGACATTCCCATCCGGTCCTTCAATGATGCAATAACCATTACATCTCTTTCCTTGTACCACCTTAGAAGACCCATCTGTAAACAATATTTCCCCTTCCTCTAAGGGCACCTCTTGCAAATCTAATCTTACCTTTGCCTGGTAATTTATTAAATGTAAGCAGTTATGTTCCGTATTTATTGGATCCTCAATTCCCTTTGACAAGAAGGAGGCAGGATTCAAAACAGACTCTGTAGTTATAGTTAAATCATCCTTTTCAATTAGTATAGCTTCATATTTTAGTATTCTGGAGTCTGTCAGCCACCTTCCTGCTTTCTGAGTGAGAATAGCCTTCACTTGGTGAGGGGTAGCAACAATCAGTTGTCCTCCAAAGGTGAATTTCCTGCTCTCTTCTACTAATAAGGCAGTTGCTGCTACTGCCTGAATGCGTTCTGGCCATCCCTGGGATACAGGGTCTAATAATTTAGACAAAGATGCTACAGGTTTCTTTTTATCTCCCATTCTTGGGTTAACACCCCCAAAGCAGCACCCTCACTTACAGTTATAAAAAGATAAAATGATTTCTTTAGGGCAGGAAGAGCTAAGACTGGTGCTGTAATAAGGTCTTTTTTTAAAAAAAATTTCCATTACTTCTTCTTCCTCTTTAATCCAGTTCAGTATATTAGGTTCTTCCTCCAATAATTTGAGATATAATTTCTCTGATTTCTGTGCATATGCTTCTATCCACAGTCTGCAATATCCAGTTCAACCCCCAAATTTTCTCAACTCTTTCTTTGTTTTAGGGAGAGGAAGTCGCACAATTCCCTGAATCCCCTCAGGGTTTACTCTCCGTCTGCCCTCAGAGACTACATGTCCCAAATACTTAACCTCTTTTTCTACACACTGTAATTTATCTTCAGATACCCTTAGCCCGTGTTCTCCTAAAAAATTCAGGAGTTTATTGGTGGCTTCCTTTACCTCCGATCTTTCTTCCCCAGATATCAATAAATTATACACATACTGTAACAACATCACCCCTTCTGGAATCTGAAATGTTTCTAAAATCTTTTCCAATTCTTGCCCAAACAAATTGGGAGATTCAGTGAATCCCTGAGGCAAAGCAGTCCATCTATATTGCTGTTTACGACCTGTCTCTGGGTCTTCCCATTCAAGTGCAAAAATGTATCGACTTTCAGGATCTAGTGGGCATGCCCAAAAGGCATCCTTTAAATCTATAACATTGAACCATTTGTGCTCATAAGGGATTTTACTCATCAGGGTGTAAGGGTTAAGAACCACAGGGTGGTGCTTTCATGTTATCTTGTTAACTTTTCTCAGGTCTTGTACTAATCGGTACGAACCATCTGGCTTTCGTACTGGTCAAATTGGAATGTTATATGGTGACATACAAGGCTCCAAAAGACCATCTTTAACTAAAGTTTGCACTATAGGTTTCAGGCCCATTTTTCCTTCACAAGAGATAGGATACTGTCGTTGTCTAACTCTTCCGCTCCCTTCTTGAACAGTTATCTTTAAGGGAGTTATGTTAAGCCCTCCTCGATTTCCTGCCCTTACCCATACCGTGGGATTTATTTCTTTTTCATCATTTTCTGTTAATAATTTCATTGCGACTGTTCTTCCTTTTTCACAGGTCTTCAATCATAATCCTAATTTGACTATTAAATCTCTCCCTAATGTTATATATGGAGTGGTAATTCGTGTCGAGAAAATGGTTGATATTAATAAAGAAGGGGGAGATTTAGGAATGTGGCCATGGGGGTTGGAAAACCCCATGAGTGAGACAACATTAGACTCTTAACGATGAGGCCATCAGGAATATCAAAGAGTTTAGAGGGAACACAGGGTGATTCAGGAGACTCTGTGCAGTCTCCGGTTTCTTGTTCTCCAGCTGGTTCTCTTTTTCTCCAGCTGGTAAGGCATGGATGTTTCTGTGTGTTTGCTGTTGTTACATTCAAAGTTGTTTGACCAATGAAAAGTTGTTTTGAAAAGAACTGCTGTGGGGAGAAGGGGATAAGAGGGGAAACCGCCCTCAAGATAAAAAAGGCAGCACGATGAAGTTACATCAATAAAGAAGCAGGAAAAAGAAGTGAAGAGGAACAGGCTGGCAGAACGCAGACCAGGACGGTCTTTTGACACTTTGCTGTGCTGCAGGAGCGGGCTAGCTTGCAGCTTAACCTCCCTTGCCCCTGCTTTCAAGGGACTGGGAGGGTAAGGGGTGCATTGTCCCAGTGCATCCCAGCAACTCCTTGCACCTTCTGGCCGCTAGCAGCTCCTGGAAACTTCCCTCTCCGAGCTCTTGGCACCCCGATGGCTGCGTTGGCTTTCTGCCTGAGGAGCCCTGATGCCTTTGCTGGCAAGGGCATCCCTTCCTGGCCATGGTCTCAGCCAGGACTGTCTCTCCTGCAGAGGTTAGGCACAACGGATTTGGCCACATGGGACCGAAGAGGTGTCCTCGCACAGCCAGAGTCTGGAGGAGTCATCGTCTTTCCCAGGTGAGTGTGCTGCGTCTGCAGCCCATGGCTGGCGTCAAGGCCAGGGCACTGCAACTACTGAGTGTGGTGGCCTGGAATCACACTGCTGTCCTCTTCTTGCTTCCAGGATTGGGCTCTACATTCCATCTGGAAGAGCTGCAGGGGGTAATCCAGTTCAAAGTCCTGAGAAGCAGGCTGAAAGCTGCCAGGGCGTGCCGGGGGCCGCTGCAGGGCAGCTCACAGCAGCACTTCTAGCGGGGACACGGAGCAGAATGGCAGAAATGGCCCAAGTAACTTGGCCTTTCTTCTCGCTTCTCTTGCAGATGGAGAAGAAGCCGCAAGACATCAAGACACTGCCTCACTGTGGGGTGAGGGCAGGCCGAGAGAATCCAGCTGCCAGCCGTGCCGCCTTTGCCAAGGCATGGCAGCGACTCTCAAGCAAGTGCCTAAAGCAGAGACATCATCATCTGAAAAGGCCACTTGCAAGCTGCCCCCTCTGCAAGCAGCAGCCTCTGCAACTTCTGCCAGAGGAAGAGCAAAGGCATTGGGTACAGAGGCCCTCAGCCACCGAGAGCTTCTGCCACCTCTTCCATGCGTCTCTGCTGAGAGGGACAGGGCAGAGAGGGCAGAGAGGTGGGAACGTGTCCCACACAGCCCTGTGGCCCCTGCTGAGGATGTGGAGTACTCAGTACGGTCCTTCGTCTCCACAGTCATAAGAAATGCTGTAGCCAAGAGCAAGGCAAGGCTTTCTCCATCAGGCAGAGGTCCTAGGACCACAGGCCACAGAACACCACCTCTCCCCACAGCAGTGCCCTGGCATTTGAAGAAGAGCCGGCACCCTGCCCCACACAGCCCCACCGACTCTTTTACGGTGCTGCAGGACACAGCACTGTCTGTTGTGTCTGAAGCCATGTCAAAGGCGATGGCTAAAATGCGGCAACAAGGCCAATGACCGGCAGCAATGGGGGACCCAGTGACAGCAACAACATGGGCAACACATGGGGTGCCCAGTGACAGCAACAAGATCAGCCGGCGTCCAGACTGACATGGAGAGCAGGTGGACCGCTGCTCTGCCAGCGTTCGATTGTCGGGGAGGTGCAAGAAAACCAACTGCCAGCAGAGACCATGCACCAGCCAGCCCAGGCAGGGTTGAAAAGCAAGAGCAAGAGAGAGCCCAAAACATCAAACCCAGGCAGGGGAGCAGCAAGGAGGGGACAAGCCAGGGCCGAGGCAGGCAAGAAAGCGGTCCTGTGGGATGGGACCAAGAGGAAGAGATTGTCGTCATCAAGTCCGCGATCAACCCCAGGTTTGCCAGACTCTTCCAGGAACCACAGGCTTTTCCCCCGGAAGAAGGCAGCTCATCCAGCACCGTGGACAGGGAGGCCGCAGAAGAAGAAGCAGTAAACCCAACAAGCGCCTCTCTTGACTCATCAGAGTCCACGGACACTACACTGTCAGCTGCTTCCCTGGCAGAAGGTCCTGGGGAAGAGAGGCACGGCACGCCTCTCACAGCACCAGCACCAGCACCAGCACCAGCAGCAGCAGAGAGGACGCCAGCAAGTCCTCTATCAGCCCCTATTTGCGAAGATGAGGGGTTCAAAGAGAGAGAGAGAGAAAGATCAAAAGCTGCCATTGGCCGGAGTCTAGTGGTGAAAGCACCAACAGCAGGGAGATCAGTTCTGTTATCCCCCACACTCTGTATTTTTGAAAGTGCAAATAAAGGAGAGAGGTGGACAGTGATTTTCAGAGGGGTGGTCACACGCTGTTCATAGGTCTCTGCATAAATGCCTAATAAAATGTTTTTGGATTTCTTCGTAAAAGCAGCTGTTTTCTCTGGTTCCAAGGGAAGGTCAGTAGCCCTTTTGGCAATTAGTCAGAGGACCACTATTTTATTTTTTTCAGGGAAAGAAAGCAAGTCTGCAAAATGAGTGCTGACTAGTCCTGCAGAATGGATACTAAAATGCAGAAATGCTTTTGGTGTATTGTATAATAAACATCATTAGTAGAACAAGAGAAATGTATATGCTGAGGACTGCTTGATTTTTTTGCTGAAATATATGCTGTTGATCAGTGCTACGGTCAAGATTAGCAGACAGCTTTGCAAATAACCAGATTGTACATCTAAAAGATGTGGGATCTCAAATTGGCAGATCCTTCAGAAAAAAATCTGATTGAGAATTGAATATTCCTTCTCCCCACCTGCCTGCCCCACAGATTGTCTTCCATCCAGGGTTGTTCTTAAAGTTACAGTTTTGCCAGTATCAGAGAAGCAGTAATTCCTAGCTGCAAAGTTTCTGGAGCACAGAGCTCCTGCTCCCCCTACCAGTACATCTGTGCGATGGGAGCTCAGGTACAGCAGGCAGTTTGCAGAGACTGGATCACTGCAGCCTGACTGCAGGGCGTTCAGACTCTGCTATTTCAGCTTTTTGAAGCCATTGTCCTATGCTACTTCCTTCAATGTCCCTGCTGCTGCCTGCACAGTGAAGGCTGCAATGGAAATCTGCCTCTTCACTTCTTCCCAGGCTTCCTGCTGGTCTGCTTTGCTTTCAATATCAAACATGGCATCATAGATCCCTGGGAAGGACTCGCCAGCGTACTTGTTGTGACTGCTTGGAGCAAAGATGACATGTCTGTGGGGAAAGGGAAAAATGTAGGTATACTAAGTAAAAAAAAAAAAATAACAGAAACCTCAAAAAATTATTGAGAATTATTGAGAAGAACAGATTCTTCAGAGTAGAAGTGATTGTATTGGAGCTGAAGTTGGCAAAACCATGGCTTATTTTTTTTAATTTTTATTTTTTTAATAATTAATAGTTGTAGATTTATTTTCAAATTTATTTTGTTCACATGAAGTAATGAAACACATTTATAGATGCAAAAGATGCCCCCCAACTCAAAATAAATACTAAAACTGTAATAATAGATGCAAGCACAAATAAAATGCATTTTAAAAAATATATATCTCTAAATGTTACCTAACACCCAAAAATAAGAACTGTAGAAAACAACCATTTCATTCTTCCAGAAGTGTGAACAACAGTTTGTCCTAGGAGGCTGGAAGTGTGATTCTCAATTCCACCTGCCTGAGGGGCTTCTGGCGTGGTGTGAAAGCCACCAGGCAGTGAGTCAGATGCACCCAGGCATCAGGAAAAGGGGGATGCTGAGAGCAAAGGTTAGGCGCTTGCACACCTGACGCTGAAAGCTTGCTTCCAGCAGGTGCTCCTAATAACTGCACAGCACTTTTATAAAGGATGTGGTGGTGCATGAAGTATTGTCCTTCTCCAGCCCTGCAGACTTGTACAGAGAAAACTTCAGTAATAACCAGTTAAGGGTTTAAGCTCATGGGAAGCGGCCAAAGCTGGGAGAGATGGGACTCTGCAGCACAGCTCGTGGGCCTTTCTTCATCCTGTGATCTCTGTGCTATCTATCCTGAGGAGAGAGGACACTGTCCAGTCTCTCTCTTCTGGACATCTCTCTTCACTACATACTTGTCCTCTTCCCTTTACTGTACTCCCTTCTTTCCTTTCTTTCCATAGAGTTGTTTATGCACTGAGTCATCACTTGGTAGAGATTTACAAGAACAAGGTGTAACAGAAGTAGTATCTATCACATACTCTCAAATCAAGTTCACAGAGTTATCAAGGCTAATAAAAATAGAGTGCCAGAGCTGAGAAGAGGAATTAGGCACTGTGAGGGTGGTGCAGGCAAAAAGTTCTCCTTGGAGATTATCAACAAAGTCTGCTACTCACTGCATTATACCTGAACCAGAATCTGTTGGGCTTTATAGGGCCTATACAGCAGTCCAACTGATCAGCCTGTGAGGATGGGATTCATCTGCAAAACCACAGTGCTTTACACAGTTAGAAAATTAGACAAGTTCAGAAAGTTGTTGCCTTACCTGTAAAACTTCCTTCCTGGTAAGCCAAGAGGATCAATGAAAGCTCTTTCTATAAACATCAGCTGATCGTTCACGATTCGCACTGCAATGGGACTGCAGAAAATGTAGACAAGAGACATTTTACACAGTAGGGAAACAGGACTGCTCGTTTTCATTCAAACACTTTTCCTCATCTTTGGACAGAAAACAAAAAAAAAAGTGATGAAGAATGTCTACATTTGCAAAAATATGAGGTTTTGCAAATGGAAGTAATACATGTTTTATTAATGCATTCAGATTTCTGTGTTAGACAACTCAATAGACACTTGTTTAGTATTAAATGGCACTAGGAGGATCCCACTTAACAGCAGGGACAGGAAGGCAGAGATTTAGGTCAAGATATCTATATTTTTACTGTCCACCTCCAAATCAAGGGTCCAAACTCTCTACAACATTCATACATACACAGATAAATAGAACAATGTTCTAAGGATGGGATTCAGTTGCCTAAACACAACCGCTATGTACCATACAAGGTACCAAGGAGCACCTGTCCTCCAGCCACTGCACCCAAAGGGCATGGGAGTCCCATAGGGCCCATAGGTTCACAAGCACCACGCAGGAGTCTTAAATACTCTGGAGCATCACCCTGTCTTCCTGAGGTGTGCTGAAAGTACAAACATTTGTGTCACCTACAGCACTCAAGCCAAGGTGTCTAAATACAGAGCGCAATCAGACTTAAACTTCCACTGCTACCTGCTTTTCCCTTTATTACAATAATTGTAATGACTAGCTGATACTTATAAGCTCTACAGCTGATACTATTCATCACTGAAAGCAGAATTAATCTTGGCAGATATTGCGTGTCTCAGAGTTCAAGGGCTCTGGTCCATGCTAATCAGACAGGCTCCTTGTGTAGTCACTGGAAAGAAAGAGCTGCCCTGGGTACCTGAGGAGATGTGATTAATTGCCCCTTCAAAATACAAATTTCACTCCATGAAATATAAAGGGAATCAGGACAAGTAATTATATCTTCAAGGTAGCTAAAAACTGAGCAAGATGAATGCCACCGCAAGGAGTGACCAGACATGCAGACTGCCCTAGGAGCAAGGCCCAAACTGACACAGGCTTTAGATGTTTTTTATTTTTAACTTTCTCTACCCAAAGGCTGATGGAGGGCTTCAGGAACACCCCTGGACAAAGAAAGGAAAGACCACAGGGGAGATTTTACTAAGATGGAGATAGATTTTTCCAGACTTACTCCTTCTTGTCAACTTTTTCAAGTCTCCTGTGAAATTCAGCAGCAGCCTCTGAGAAGTTCACCACAGCAGAAAAAAGAGCATCTAGACAAGGAAAGACTTTTTTGAACAACTTCAGAGGATCCACAGAGCCCAATATACCTTTCAGTTGCCCAAGGGGAGCAAAACTACGTCTGTTTTGCTGTTCCACTTGCATTATTTTGCTGTTACACCTGCATTAGTTTTCTCGTCTCTCCTAGAAGTTCAGATTTTTAGCCTCCATTAGTTTCCCCAGAGCAGACTTTAAGAGCTGCACTCCCAGCAGTAACAGACAAGGACAGAGTGGAACTACGCCAACAGCAGAGCAGGGTGCTGGATACGGCCTTCCCAAGCCCACGTCTTGCCTCTGCCTGCCAAGGAGAAGACGCTGGCATTGCAAATGGAAAACTCTGCTGTTCCCCTTTTAACATCGGGACATACTGTAGAGTTTAGGTTAGATTAAAAAAATAAATAAATAAATAAAAATAAAAAGCCTGACATCAAAAATACCAGCTCTTCCAGCTGGCTGTGCAAAAGCTCTTGGAACATAATTTCCTATTCATAACAGAAGAGTGTCCTATTGAATAGTATTGAGAAAGACATTGAAAAAAAAAAAAAAAGTCATGGTGGTGCACAGCCAGAGATAGGTAGGGTAAAGTAACCAAGCCCCACGCTTGCTAAGGTGCAGCCCACGAGGTGTCTGTGCCATGACCTTGTGCCATCCCCTGTGCTGCTGCTTGGCCTCCAGGATTTTGCCTGTTACACCTCACTCTGGGCAGTACATGTAAGTCCCATTGCTTTCTTGTGCTCTGCCCCTGGCAGCATGTCCGAGCCACATGGGATAGCTTTGCCTCAGAAGCAGCTACAGATACTGTCTCCTGCTAATGACATCAACTGTGATGATTTTCCTGTAGAAGGGTCGATTTGATACAGACCTGGGAAGAAGTATCGATTTCTACAGCTAATTTTCATGGAACAAAAGGAAGGTGGATGGTTTGAGGAGGAGAACTTCTGGCCTTACCACAGCTCATTACATAGTTTCACAACTTGCACATTTTGCCCAAAAGTTTCAGGAAACTTTAGATAACGCAGAGTATCCTCTCTTTGCACAGGAACGTGGATTAGGTCATCTCCTAAACCCTATCCCCTACGGGGAACGAGGCCCTGCTGTGCTGGTAAACTCATCACACTATTTTAGAAATCACATAGGCTGTCTGTTCCCACGACTTCTATTGAAAGCTGCTCTGCAGTCTCATCTGCTTTCTATTTCCAGCACACGTGTTTATCCATCACCAGCCCACACTTGCTTGTTCTTGCATTAATATTTTTCTTTAGCTTACATAATCAGAGGCACAGATTTTGCCTCTGCAACCTGTTTATGGACAGTGCTTGTCCACAACTGCATTTGCCCAGGGCAGTAGTTATCAATTTGGCAGAGGACAGGGCTGACATCATGGCTGTATCAAGGCTACAGATTATATTTCAGAAGCAGTAGGAGGGGATTTAAGAGAAAAAAGAAAGGTCATCTGAAAATATATAAGACAATTTGTGCTCATGTTCATGAGCTATTCAGTGCTGCCACTTTTGGTTATTTTAAAAAATATTATCAATTTTATTTATTCATTTCCCCTACAGACCTTAGCTCTGATAGTATATTATTACAAGTACTATTTCATGTAAAAAAATAAATTAAAAAAAAAAGGTTTCCAGTGTTCATTGTTGCAGAGGAGCAGCTGAAATGTGACTATAAAGGCAATAAAAAAAGCTTCATCAATTGTTGTGAAGGACAACTACGTGATTTATTCAGGCTTAATTAACAGCTTTCTGACATTCAGTGCTGTCAATAGGTAGTTCTATGAAAATGCTGAGTGAAATGAATTTCAATTTGCAAAGTATCATAAAAGCTATCTATTCATTGTAATGCACTCTGGTGCAATAGAATATACAAAAAATAAAAATCATAGTTTCTTTTTAAAGAAATAAATTTGAACTGATCAGGCATCAAAGAAGAGACACGAAAATAATGAAAAGACTGGAAAAAAAACCTTGTAAAAACGGCCAAAGTGCCACGTCTATAAAGTTATTAAGGAGAGAGTTAAGTGATAGTTAGGGAACAAAAGCCAAAAAAAATAATAATAAAGATTGCTTCTAAAACATAATTGACATAAGAACAGAAGTATATACATCAGTTGGAAATTCATTTGGGCAAGTTCTAATTTGAAATGAGAAGGAAACACAATGAAAATAAATTATTTAACAGAAAATTTGGTAGCTGTTCTAACAGTGCAAAAAGAAAGTCCAATCTTGATGTTTCCCCAGATGATATGCTACAGTTAACACAAGAATGTGTTGAAATAAATCTCTTATAAATCTCAGACCAGATAATCCATCCCAATATGCTTCCTCTGTTCCAAGAAGCCTTTTTACCAAAAATAAAAAAATTTAAAAAAATGAAGTCTTTTCAAAATACTCAAGAGCTTTCTGCCTAACGAGACTTAAATGTCATTTTAGTTTTTCCTAAGCGAGGATTTGATTTGAATTACTTCACGTTTCAGACAACCCAAATGAGTACTGCAGCATTGAAAAGCCAGTTTATGTCTCTAACCCATGGGTCCATCAGATACCATGTGGATTAGGACTGACTAAAAATTCTCCATGGTACAGAAACCAAGGGGTGAACAAGGCAAGGAGAAAGAAGAAAGAGACAGAGAGGAAAAAAAAATGATTGTGGAAACCATCCTAGTTTGTGATCCAGAGTACTCTGTCTCTTCCATTCTATTTTATGTGCCTCATCAAAATGTTTTCAAGTGCTCAGTGAATGTATTTATGCAGAAGTTGGAGAAGGGTTCTGTTACCTAAATGTGGTACCAGCCACTGACACAGATGGTAAGCAGGTTTCCCAAGGTCAGACAGACTAAACCTCTGCCTGAGGAGGAAATGACACCTGCATCTCCCAGGTTTCAGACAGTTGCCCCAAACATTTAACCTGTCTTCTTCTTTTAAGCAAGAGAAAATAATCTAGTCCGGGGTGAGAAGCAGGTCAATACTATTTCTTTGTTCTGCATTTGATTGTGGTTCATGACTGCTCGTGAGCAGTGTAATAATGAACATAATAACATGCATGAAAATTATTTTAACTCTCTCATCTGACCAATAACGTGCTAATACTGTGTTAGGTTTAGAAATATATTTTTAGAAGACTTTTCTTTATTATGATGGAAGAACTGAAACAGAAAAGGAATTCAGTTTCAGAGAGAGGACAGATATATCATGTCTCTGCATAATTCTAATTAATGCACTCAATAAATTCTGCTGTGGCTATTACTCACCAAATGACACTTTGTAAGTTTTCAGCCGTTCTTCATGTTTCTTGGCCAGTTTATAAATTCTATCGCTATATCCTTTTAAGGCTTCTCCGTAATCTCTACAGTCGAATGGAATGATCTGGGAATCTGCAAGTTCATAAACCAGTTTGCCTCGTAACTTGGCAATTGCTAGCTGTTTCTTGAAGGTGGGGTCATAAAATTTTTCCACTAACTCAAAGGTCTCATACACAGTGTGATAAACAGGATAATTGCTGAATTTGTCTGCTTTCTGAAAAAAGAGCAAGCAAATTTGTCAGTGCCATGTATTCTAACTGCAGTTAAGGGTTTTATTGATGGTATGATATTTTGCACAGCATCCAAATCAAAAAAGCTATTTCCTACAAAACACAATTTGCTATCCTTCCCATTTTTGTGTGTTCATCTTAGGATAATGAAACAACCTGAATCCATGGACTGTCACACACGATTAAGTGAGCAGGCTTCCTTCTCTCCATCTAAACAGACCTGACTTCAGTTCCCTTGTAAAGAGAGTGCCTCCATGGAAAGTGAAATCAGCCTGCAGTTCTCAATTGCAGAAATCCTGTCATGGATCCCTTTTTATGTCGCATGGTTCTCCAAATAATATCAAGGAGGATGTGTATGTTAAGGGGACTACTAATGGTACCGTGGAATGAAATACACACCCCCAAACAGATTTTGTAAATATCCTTTTCAGTACTTGACAGCCTATAAAATAAACATATCACTGTAATGTTTTATTCTCCAAGCTAATAGGTTTCTTATTTAATTAAAAAATGGCACTGATGTACAAATGAGACAAAAAAAAATGTTGAAGCTTCTTTACTAATTATGAATAAATGCTCTTAAAAGATGACTGCTCAGCCCTATCAAACTCCTTCAAGCAATCTACATGGCTTACCCTATTCTTGGTGTAACGCACTCTGCCCGATGCAATTCCCAGTCGCTGGAAGTAAACTTCAAAATCACTGCCTGATCCCAGTTTGTTTATTCTACATGTAGAAAAGACAACATGTCATAGAGGAAGTACTTATTTTATAATATGATGGTAATTTATGCAAAATGTAGATTTTCAAAGAAATGGAGGTCAAGGCTTCTGAAGGGCACACCAGGGACACTCATAAGATCAGAGAGTAGACGAGCAGCAAGCTTAATTACCGTAACTGGTTTTATTCTAACACACTAATCCGGTATCCAATATTACTGGGAGAGTCATTTAAAGGTAGCGACCCTGATTATGACACTGGCCACATTAGGAAAAAAATGTACATAGTATACACAAGAGCTGTAGATTTACATCAGATAAGCCTCTGCAATCTTAAAATATTAAACATCTATTTCCAAACTAATAAGAATTGCGAGGCAATATATGTAAAGACAGATGTGTTTATATACTCAGCATATTCAACAGTACAAAGACTGGTAAATAATTTCCACAGTAGAAGATTAGCATTTATTACTTACAAGTAAATATTGCCATCTGCTGGGTAGGTGTGGCAAGACAGAGGAAAAGAAAAACAGTAATAAAAACCTGAAATATTCTCAGTATTTTCAAATATTTATTTGAGTTTTATATTAAGTTTTAGGGTTAAATATCTAGCCAGAAGAATAATTGGCATTTCTCAGATAAAATAAATAAATAAATAACCCAGCTAAAGCTTTCCCATTAGTATACATTTCTGCAAGAAACTATTTGTTTCAGCTGAGGATTAGATTTAGTGGCTTTTTCAAAAGGAAGAGATCTTAGTGAGTCTAATGAATCTAGGAGATCATATTGCCAAGGCTTGCAAGATGATAGGGTCATACATCCAGAACATTTGGGTCAAATCACACAAGGGGGCAGTTCTACTCACCTTATGGGGGTATAAGGTTTAGCCTTACAGTCACAGGCTTAAACAATGTTTTGAAGTTTTAATACTTTCAAATAAAGATTTGTAATGTACATCCATTACGTAAATAAAAAAATAATTATCATAAGAGCTTTTTCATTACTGTTCTAGGCAGTTTCTTTCAACAGAGCATTTGCTTAGCCTAACAATAGTATATTATCTCATCTAGAAGGGTGACTAAACTACACTTTGAATTCTTTCCCTGCCCTTCATTTCCATGATTGCTCTTCTATCCATAAGAAGCCTTTAAAGAGTGTGAGGTTTCCTCTTGCAGTGGGTATAGATCATCTTTTTTAAAAAGGTCATACCATTTTATTTGATTTTAAAATCAAATATTGTTGGAGACACCACGTACTAAAAAGTTGCTGTCATCAATAGCAATACATCTTGAAGAATTCTGTAGAGGAATTGTGCTATGATATGATTAAAATATTGGGAAAATAAAAGCAAATTAACAACTTACCTGGGATAACTATTATTTTCAGGTGCAGGGTCTTTCACAAGCCAACTCTCATAGAGAGACTTCTTTTCATAACCCTCATCAGGGCTTGAGATCTGGAAACAAAAAGATTATAATCTCACTGGAAGTATCTCTAACTGAAATCAGTGTTAAAGGAGACATTTACAGCTATCTGCATCATTCTTAATAGCATTGCTGTATGCAATGAAGTACACATAGTTCATTTACATTTCTTCTATACAGTTATGGATCCCAACCGTAAAGAGCATCTGACAGGCACTTGGACCCAATCACGGACAGTACAGCAAGGTACAGCTGAAGAATACTGGCTTGAACCCCTCAGGTTTTGGAAGAAATTGGAAGAATACTTGGGATTTTTAGGATTTCTTACCACTTTATTATAGCCCTTTGTATGCGCATGCACAAGTACATGTAATAGCACTATGGAGCTGCTCCAGCAGCAATCCTTTCAGCAGGCAAGGGGAGAAGAGAGCCCTGAGCCATCACAAATTTGCTTCAAACAGCAACTACATTCTCTCAACAGGTTAAGCCTGAAATTTGCCTGCTCTTTGTTATAGGAATTACGTTAGAAAGAAGGGGCATAACCTGTCACTAACTATATTACAGAAGTGTCAGGGGAACTGAACCAAGACTGGAGCCCTGTTGTGCAAGACACCGTGTGTACAAATGCAGGTCCCACCCCTACCTTAAAAAAATTGAAAGCTATGTAATCATGAAGGGTAAATACTAGTACAGCCAAAATACAGCTGGGAAAACTATGAAGCAGTAGGAAATTAATTGACCAAAGCTGTTAGAAAATCTGTGGCAGAGTTACACATAAATAAAAACTCTGGCCCTAGTCTCTAGCTACACCTATCAATCTTTGTTAGTTATGGCTAAAGCCAGTATGGTCCTTTAAATATCACATTGGCTATCATGTGCAGAGGATTGGGATTTATTTATTTATTTTCAAAATACAAAGCATAAACATGCATGGTTAGATACATAGTTTCACAGTATTGTTGAGTCTTAAATTCTGCACTGAAAAATATACGGACTCCAAATTGAAAATCCTAGGAATTCTGACCTCTGGGGTTATGGCAACAACTACAAGGAAAAAAAAATAACAACTTTGTGAAGCAACCGTTTGACTGCTGTCATTTTCAGGGCACTTTGGTCAAGTTCTATGGCTTAAATTGAAAATGGCATATTAATATGAGCAAGCTGAGCTCTGACATATGTGAGTAACAATACTCCATGCTCTGGCGGAGATGTTATTCTGACAGCTCTGGTCATGTCAAAACCATTCATCCTGACTTAGATCCAAATCTAGAATCAGCACAAGCTCACTGTTACTTCAAAGAAGACATGGAGTTCTTTAAATATAAATGCAATGTAAAAAGTGATGATGAGAAAAGGGGAATTGGAGTTGGACTATTGCAGATGTTGGCTGGTGAGAAATAATTTTGAGAAATCTAGCAGTACTGCTGGGCCAAAAGAGATTGCCAACTTCTAAACATCCCATCTGTATGCTAAGGACTGCACTTAAATGCAGAACTCCTTGAAAGATGACACTTCATCTGTACACTACATTTTTTGATGAGAAGTGGTTCACAAAAAAAAAAAAAAAAAAAAAAAAAAAAAAAAAACAGGATGAGCAAAAAGCTCGTGGGGTTTATGTCAATGATTTTGGTCTAAGAACACATATTCCAAGTTTGGATGTTGGACTCTTTCATGTGAACAGAAATAACTTTCTTTCAGACATGCATAATCACCCACATCTGCACTAATGTTCTTTCACTTACTGGGCTTTCTGAATGAAATCCAATCCCATGCAAAAGCCTAATGCAAATCATTGGCTCTGGTATGTACATCTAGCCTCCCAGTGTCTTCCAAAAACAGCACTGCAGTCAGAATATTAAAACTAAGAATATAATAATTTCAGCTGAATCCTTCTAGTCATTACAGAATTTAGTTGATGTTTTTGTTTGTTTGTTCTACTTCTTATTTTAAGATTATTGGAAAAGACACAGCTTAGTAGAGGTATAGATCTTAGTTGTCTTTATAGCAAGCTACATAAATACAAGCTGATCCCTCTGCAAAATAAAAATTCCATGTTTTACTTGTTACATTAGTTTCTCTCCCTCTTTTGCTAATTCAATTCACTGGAATTTGTAAAGCTCCAGAGAATGAAGATGTTTGATCCCTTAAATTAATTTTATTCTGTGATGCCAGAATCAGTGAGCCAAGGAAAATTTATGACATATTTCTAGAGTGTCTCTCACTCATCTGTATACATGTTTTTATGTCACCAGAAATCATGGTCAAGGTAGAACTGGTCTTTCAATAAATGCCCCTTGGTATTCTTTCTCTCACAGAGTTCATCAAAACATCTTTTTCCTTGGGAAAAAATCAACAACTGCTATTAATGATCTTACAGGAAAGTTCAAAAGGGTGTGAGAGAAAGGTTTCACAGTCTGTGAGGCATGGTTCGCTGGAGGTCACCTGTGACACATCAACATCAGTAAATTAAAGATGGTTTGGAAATTTAAACTTAAAATTAAAATTTTCCTCAAAAAAAAATATATATATTTATATATACATATATATATTATGGTAAGGAGTGTCTTAAATGTATTTGCCAAAACAATGGAAAAAATAGTCTAAAGAAAAAAGGGATTATAAATGATATTTTTTGGATAGAGACAATACTATAGAAGAAAACTGCAAAAACTGTTTGAATGTGTACAGAAAGTAGAGGACAGCACTGGATTGGAATGCTGTTGCAGAATTCTACTCTGTGAAAGAAACATAAAAGAAAAAAAAATAGTTGTCTTTTTTTTTTTGTCTATAAGAAACTAATAAGAAAAAGAAAAAAGTCTAAGATGTTTCAGCAGTAGCGTTAAGGAACTCAAGCAATAGTCAGACTTCTCACTGACACCTCTCTGCCTTAAACTCAACCCCTTAACAAATGAAGCTATGAAGAATATGAATAAATAAAGTGTACTTCTAGGAGCTTTTTAGCAAGGAAACAGCATGGAATTATGGAGTAGTTGTCAGGTTTTCTGTTGTTTGTATTACACTTCTACTGTTAAATCTTAAATAACACTGAATAGGAAGATTTTCAAAAATGCCAGTCCTAAGAACTTCATATGGTATGTTAAAGGAAGTTTCCTACCCAAAGCCAGCAATAGTTGAATAGTTGACTTTAGATCAAAGAATAAGATGCTATTTCTAATCCAGAGCATATTTTACTTTGTTTATCTTTTGCAGAAAAAAAATAAAATGAATCCCTGGGTAAACGAGTTGCTGCACACAGAAAGAAAATTATTCTAACCAGGACCCTGCAGCACTAGGGACATAGGAATTTGTATAGGTGAAACAGACTGCCCTGCAGTGTGCGAAGTGTGACAGCAGCTGACTGAACAAGCACAGCTTCTCCCCCTGCAAGGAAGAAAGAATATGACAAAAAGAGTTGATAAGAAAATAAAATGTAGAAAATGGAAGAAAAGCAAGGGAACAGCATAGATAAACTACCTCATATTCACATGATGGCATTTCCAGTGTCAAAAGAAAATGTACTACATGTGAAAATAGCTCATAATGAATGCATCTTATGGGAAGGGATACTCATAGCTGGAGCCATCCTACCAAGTGAAGTTTCAGTGCAGATTTCTAGAACAGACCAAGTCACCTAGGTTCCCTTAATAACAGAGGAAGAAGATTTTTAGAGGGTTCTGTATGCACGAGAGTAGACAACCACATTTGGGCACATAAATTATTTCTACCCATTGCCTTTAAAGGGAGCCTATTTTCCTATTTTCCTTAAGTCAGATAGAGATGCCTTCACTTAATTGAGATGAGGATAGTGACAATGCCTCATGCTATGTGCCTCAGCTGGTTAACAACTTATACAGCCAATGAAATTTCATGCCTTAGTGGACCACAGTCCTTCAGCCTTATCATAATTCATGCTGAGAGGTGAAAGCAAAGGACAAGTGTACTACAAGGCCACTTGTCAATCAAATCCACACATCTGGCCTATTACAAAACCCACAAACCCACCCAATCCTTTCATATCTATCATTGTGTTTCAAGGGCTCAGTAAGAAATGGAGGACATTCAGGTAGAACCAATAAAAAATGGTAGCTTGCTAATGTGAAAAGTAATAGATTTTAGATTTTAAGAGATTGCATTTGAAATCAAAATGTGAAACACCATTTATTTCCTTGAACGCTTATTTTAGAGAATTGATTTTGCTCAAGTGTTTAATTATCTGGAATTTATTTATTTATTTATGGACTTATCTATATAGAATTATAGAGAAGTTCAGAATTATCTCTACATAGTATATTATAAATTGCAAATAATATTCCACTTATGTTAGTGATACATTTCAGCCTTCTTACAAATACTGAGGAACCATGAGCTTGGACTGTGTACCACTGAAGGGAAGTTTTGACACTAATTTTGGTAGGATTAAGATTCTTCCAGCATGGCTATAAGACAATAAGAATATTATACAATAATTCAATTTTATCCAATAAACCTCCAGTTTTACATTCTCAGAACACCACAAATAATAAACACTCTGATTCAGTACCTCTTTAGTTAGATTATACACCAGTCTGTAGAGAAGAGGGGTGCAGTCAACTCTTAATGTGTAGTTGCCTGAAAATGAAACACAGACATGGAAATCTTCCCCCACATATCATCAGCATCATCTTCCTAATGGGCTAGTCTTGCAGTCCCTTCTTACACAAACTTCTCCTTGACTCTAAGGCAAAGAATTTAGATCTTGCCTCAGAATTTATACAGAAACAGACTATTTAGTTGGTCACCTTGTAAAAGCTACTGCTCCTACACAACAGCAATGCATTGGTTATGGTATGTACACAGTAATGTAATGAAGCCTTCCCATAATTCTAGAATATGCCCAACTCTCCCTCATCTGCTACAAATCCTTGTCACTCACATGCTCCCCAAAGCATGTATTAAACAGAAGCAGTGGTAACATCCTAGAAAAAGAAATAAAAAATAAGTCAGTGCATTCAGGAACTGACATTTCCCTTGCAAAAGTTTTTAAGAAGCTTCTCAGTGCAGCTGTTTCTTCTTTTACCATGAAGAGGACATTTGTAATATTTTTTTTCAGATTTTATCTGAAAAAAAAACAACAGGTCATCTGAGTAAGAGACTTGCAAGACTTTTGGCATTTTGTGTTTCAGTATTAAACTTCACCCAAACAGAAGGCAACAAAGCTACAGAGTAGTGTTTTCATCTACTCTCTTCTAAACATCCCCTTCTACCACCATGCTATAGCTTCTTCAGTTTACACCCATGAGGTTTCAACATTGCCTGGGGCTACGTTGAGCTCACTAACTACTCCCAAAGCTGTCAGTCACAGCAGCAAGAGCCCCATTGAAAAGAAACTATTGCCACTACAGTTAGGCTGTCAAGCAACCTTCTCTGTAGGCTACAACCATCCAACAGCAGCTAGGATGGACAATAGCAAAGGGGGGATGAGAAGGCTTTGATGTAATGAAAGACAAGCTGTCAGATAACACTGCTGCTGGGTTTTGACACTGCTTAAGACCTTTTGGCCATTCCTTGCATGGTGTGCACTCACAAGAGGACTTGACTGACAAATTCAGAAAATCCCATGGTGATGAAAAAATTACTAGGTAACATTAATAATGTTTCCAAAGAGGGTCTGTATTTGAGAACTGGAAATTAGAATTACATAAATGCCTAAAAGGATGACCCACTATTCTGTCATGGGTGCTAAAGGACAATCAATAGAAATAATTTGCTGTTCAAAACATGGCACAAGAAGCACTGTAGAAAAAGCATGATGATAAACAAAATAATTCCAGAGTATATGGATGTTCTGGCTCTACAGGGGATGCTCAGAGTGAAGTGAAAGACGTCCAAGATACTTAAAACAGTCCTCTGAAGATGGTGTTCTTTTTCTTTTCCAGCAGTTTTACTTTTACATTTTCTTTAATGCATAAAACAAGAGACATGTTTGAATAATTAAGATTTGGAAGAAAATTGTTAATGCAGCAGCATGTTGGCTGCAAATCAACTAAAAAAAAAAAAAAAAAGTGTTATGATCCATGCTGAGAATATGAAGCAGTTGTAAAGCTATTATTTCATCTGTGAGATCTAGGCATGAAATTCTGCTCCACTTTTTACACAGCATGTAAGCTACATAATTGAAGGAACAGCTCTACTCTCCTTATACCCCAACTCCAACTGAGCATTTAGAAACTGGGTTTGGCTTTTCTTTCCCTCCAATCCTTTTGTGACAGATAGAATTTTCAGCTGACATGAATAAAACAAGTTCTTAAATGTGCCTATCGATATCCATTTTATTCACACACAGTAAGCCCAAATAAGTTGGGTTTAACATGGGAAGAGCAACGCCCTAAATAACATAAGATATGGTTCAGAACAGCTTCACAGGACTCTACTGACTATTATTTCAGCATAAACAATAGGAAATGAGGCCCCTCTGTAATAAAGTTCAGAATAATTTAAGAAGGAAAATGTCCTGTTTATTTTGATTTAGGTCACTGTGCTGCCTTCAGTTTTCAAAGTCTAGTTTCTAAGCATCATTCCTGTATGCATTCCTCTCAGAATCTGAAGGGCATAGTAAATTCAATAATGGGGGATCACTTTCTTGTGAACCACTCTTGAGAGCTCATTTTTCTAGGACAGTGTTGCCATAATATGTAACTCCTTGCAGAGCCTTCTTGCTCATAGCAATGAACAAAGGTGACTACGCTGTCCCAAAGCAAAAAAATGTTTTCCCACCCCCACAAAATGTAAGCCCAAGGTCTTGACGCTATATGTCTTGAGACTGTAATAAATTGTAGTGTCTCAAGATACTGTACTTCCACAGTAAATTGAGCTGGAGCTGCAAACAGAACAAGGAACAGTCTGTTATATATCAAATCTGTAATTGTAAAACAAAGCTAAAGCAGTTAAGCACTTAAGCAGTTTTACAATTCAGACTGCTCAATTCATTAGTAAAGAACACTAAATTCTAGAGGAGGCATTCTGGCAGCCAACTGCAGCTCATGGTTGGAACTATTTGCAAGAAGGAAGCAACATGAAAATGTAAATTGTTCTCTCTACTTAATTCTGCATTTGGTACAGTTATGTTGAATGTCACATTATCTATTTTGCATTTACTAGCTCTGGATGCAATGAATAACACACAATAACTACTAAAGTTGACATCTGTAAAGCAAAATGAGTTTAAAAATAAGACATACCTTCTATAGAAGAATCTGTGTTGATGTAAGCAACTGCCCGTTCCTGGAGGACTCTGGCATTTTCCTAGGGTTGTAAAAGTGCAATTATTACTTTTCATTTAGTGACATTTAGTCAAGATATTAAGTATACTGTTTTTTACCACCTTACCTTTAAGAACCATGTCAGGATAAGTAGCACAATGTACCTTACTCATTATACTAGTATTTGAGGGTGGTTAATGATCTGGGCATACGAAATTCACTCTTACATCTGGGACTCAATTTTTTTCTAGGAACCACCCACAAAATAGAGGTCTGTCTGCTGCATCACACAGGAGCAAGACAGGACAGGAAAACTAATGCAGAAGACATGAAATTGGAGGGAGTGACCCACCAGAGGGCCGTGCTGCCATCCAAAGGGACCTCAGCAGGCTGGCAAGAACATCATGGAGTTGATCAAGGAGACGTGCAGGGTCCTGCCCCTGGGGAGGAATAGCCTCAGGCCCCAGGACACGCTAGGGGCCACCCACCTAGGCAGCAGCTCTCAGAAAAGGACCTGGGGGTCCTGATGGGCACCAGGCTGAACGTGAGCCAGCAATGGGCCCTTGCTGCTAAGAAGGCCAATGGTGTCATGGCATGCATGAAGCAAAATACCACCAGTAGGCCGAGGGAAGTGATCCTGCCCCTCTGCTCAGCACTGGTGAGGCCATACCTGGAGTGCTGAATCCAGTTCTGGGCCCCCCAGTACAAGAAAGACCTGGGCATACTGAAGAGAGTCCAAGATCAACCACTTTTTGAATGTGCAAAATATGACGACTGTGAGCTGATCTAGAATTCCTTAATGCCATTAATTCCCAGTTATTCATGTCAGATCCCAGTACTGAACTCATTTTTAACACAGATAAACTGGGTATCGCTGTCATTTCTACACTCTTCCATTTCAAAAAGGGATGAATCAAAGCACTGAATTTGACTGTTTTGAGTCAACCAACCATTGCTTTCATGCTAAATATATACACACGCAGGCTTAATTTTTTGAAAACTGGCAATTATGTTTGAAATTGATATTCTAATCACTAAGTGGTATTTTACTAAATCTTGGCTTTGTAATAGATATTCTAATTAGGTTAGTAACTGATACTTGATTCATTCGATTTATAACACCACACATCATTTGTAAGTCATGTGAACTGCAAATTAGATTGGTAAGTGATAACTCCAAAATGCAATTGGTATCTTTAAAACAAGAAGTAGAGAAGATTCTGGAAACAAACAAACAAACAAACAAACAAAAAAAGAAACAAATGAAGGGAGGAAGCAAACTTGGATATGCATACACATGGCCTTATATATGTGCAAAAGCTTATTTGCAACATAACGAAATTCTTTCATTTATGAGCAATGGAGATTGTTTATGCAACAAAAGGATGTTGCCACAGTTGCAGAGTCTTTTTGTTACTTTACCATCACAGAAAACAGGAAATATAGTGGGTTAATTTTCCTCAAGATTTAGTAGATGACAGATCTAGCAGCTGCAGAAAACACAAATGTAAGCTGTGAGGAAAATCTCTAGAGAAACTAAAATCTAATTTTGGTGTCAAGAGGAGGAATGCACACCACCAAGATAAAGCAAGAAAACAATAATATAAAAACATTGAGGTTCAGATATGAATGGTGTTTATGGCTTTCTAATCTAGTAGAGCTGCCATTGTATGAAATGCAATAGATGATAGATTACCAGCTATTAAATTATTAAACAAGAAACACTGCAGAACAGCAGTAGCAATACGAGAACAAGTATAAAATAACTAATTTATTCATGACATAAGAGAAACAGACCTTTTAAGTATCATGCTTTCATATTCTTCATAGTTAAAACAATTGTGAACAATTGTGTTTTGTTTTGTTTTGTTTTTGACATTATCTAAAAATGAACAGTTAGATAGAGAACAGAATCAAAAATAAAAGAGTAATATAAGATTTGCTTTTGTCACCAGTGGAGCTCAGATGACATGAAGTTTTAAAGCAAATCCTTTAAAATCCCTCAGTAAATGACTTTTAAAATATTATAAATTATGCTTTCTTCATCTAATGTCACACAAACTGACAATAAGATGCAGAGAGTCTATTGCACCTGGAAGCTAAATGGTTTATGGGAGTGCAAATCCAAGGGAAGAGAAATCACAGCTTTGTTAACAGAAGAATGATGGAATCCCTTTGGTATTGGGAGCACAATTCTGGTTTTCTCCTCCAATGTGTCATTTTGATATGTAATTTTGTAGTTTACTGAAATACATGCCAATAAATTAAAATAAAAAGATTTAATTATTTTCTTGTACTGAATTTTAAAACTCTAAGTTTTCTAAATACAGCGTTGTAAATAAAATTCTAAGAACAAAAAAATGTTAAACCATTCAGTACCAATAAACTGATGTAGTTCAGTACCAATAAACTGATGTAGTTCACCAGAACTGTGTTTCTGTGAGAAGTTAGATAGGTAATTTGCATAAATATATGAGGGCCTTGCAGCACCTGAAGAGGAATCTGTTGTGCTCCAGTTTTAATTTGAAGTTACCGATTGCAGTCTAGTGATAGACACCATTAGGCTCTGCATCTTCCTGCAACAGATGTCCAAGTTATGCCTCACGCTATTCTTTATTTACCTCAGCCCATTCTGTGGAACCCAACAATCCAAATTCTTCTGCATCCCAACTAGCAAAAATAATAGTTCGTCTGGGTCTCCAACCTGCAATCACATAGTTAAATTTCAAAATTCAGCTCAAGTTAGAAAGTCTAGTAAAAGACCAACACAGTTAATTGAATCACTTTTAAAAATTAGCACTTAATTGATATAGCAGTAGAAAAAAAATCCTCTCTAAGCCCTTAGAGGAACGTATTACTACAGAAGAATTTCTTCCTAACGCACAATTTTCATTCTATACAACTAAAAGGTTAATCTTCTACTGATGAGGGACATGAGGGAATAAATTCAGCCAACTAAGATGCAATGATACACATGCAATTCTTCAATAAATTTGCATGTTTCATAATGAGAACTACAACTCTCTGCAGAGGTGAAAAGTTAAATCAACACAACTGCTTCTGGGAACATTCAGCATAGTCTCTCATTGTTGCTGTTTCCCATATCCATCACTTTAATTCTGCAATAAATAAGTTACCTTCCATCTTCATTTTACCAAAACTCCGAACAACCTCTTGAAGAACAGCTGCGCCTGTAGTTGGATCAATACCACCAAACACCCAGGAGTCTCTGTGACCTCCAAAAATAATATATCTATCTGGAAACAAGCACACAATATCAATAATTACTTAAAAATGCATTTAGATTATCTGTATTTCCATTGATTCTGCTAGTATTATTTAACATTTTTGTCAGTGACACAGACAATTGGCTCAAACACATCCTCAGCAAGTCTGCTGATGATACCAAGCTCTGTGGTGCGGTTGACACACTGGAGGGAAGGGATGCTATCCAGAGGGACCTGAACAGGCCTAAGAGGTGGGCCTGTGTGAACCTCATGGAGTTCAGCAAAGCCAAGTGCAAGGTCTTGAGGCTGGGCTGCGGCAATCCCAAGCACAAATACAGGCTGGGGGATGACTGGACTGAGAGCAGTCGTGAGGAGAAGGACCTGGGGGTGTTGGTGGATGAGAAGTTCGACATGAGCCAGCAATGTGAGCTTGCAGCCCAGAAAGCCAACCATGTCCTGGGCTGCATCGAAAGAAGTGTGACCAGCTGGGTGTGAGAGGGAGTTGCTCTCATGAGACCCCACCTGGATCCCTGTGTTCAGCTCTGGGGCTCCCAGCACAAGAAGGATATGGAAGTATTAGAGCAGGTCCAGAGGAGGGCCACAAGGATGATCAAGGGGCTGGAGCACCTCTCCTGTGAAGGTACGCTGAGAGAGTTGGGGTTGTTCAACCTGGAGAAGAGATGGCTCTGGGGAGACCTTACAGCAGCCTGCCAGTGCCTAAAGGGGGCTACAGGAAAGCTGTGGATGGACACTTTGTCAGGTGGCGCACTAGGTTTAGATTAGATATTTGGAAGAAATTCTTCACCCAGAGGGTGGTGAGGCCCTGGCACAGGCTGCCCAGAGGAGCTGTGGATGCTCCATCCCTGGAGGTGTTCAAGGCCAAGCTGGATGGGGCTTCGGGCAACCTGGTCTCATGGGAGGTCCCCCTGCCCATGGCAGAGGGTTGGAAGCTGATGATCTTCAAAGCCCCTTCACACCTCCAATCAGTTCTGTGACTCTATGATTGCATCCCTACTTGTGTCAAAAAAAATAATTTTAATATCAGCATTAGAAATGTATTTTTACAGTAATCTTCAATCATTCACTTAGTCTACTGAAGGGTATATACGAAGAAAATAAATATTTTATATATGTTTTTCCACTTAAAATTATTTCACGTGTATGCCCTGCAATGCAGTACTAACAATAGGATGTCAAGGTTTCAAATCATGATTAGTTTTCTATACTTCACATTGTGTAAAGATGTCTAAGAGAAAATGCATGCATGCTGTAATCCCATGGTGAAATAAAGAGTTATAAAATATTCTTTGACACCTATTGTTCTAGCATTCCTATTGAAATATATTATTGGGAATGCTCCTGAAAAAACATGTTATGGGAGGGACAAGACAAGCTATTAAGGATTTGTCAGATTCCAATATTCCAATGTTATCTGTATATCTTAAAAACTTTGTTTCTTGCAGCATTAGAACAATTTCACCAAGCACAAAATAAAAAAGGAATTAAAATTCTCAAGCACTTGATGCTCACCTGGTTCCACTGCTCCTCTGAGGACACCAATGACATTGTAAATTCGTGTTATTTTACTGTCTGTATGAACATGCATTCTGACTTTTCTGAAATGAAAAACAGTGTGGAGTAACCACCTCTGACTGAGAAGACAATAAAAAGTCACAGCTTGTAAGCCATAAAGTTTGTACTTCTGTATTGCTTTGTGTGTTCAGCATATCTGTCATGTTGTATCAGTGTCCTATTTTTTTTTATTTCATATTAAACTGTTGATAGAAAGTGGCTTTTAAAAAAAAAAAAAAAAAAAAAAAAAACTATTAAGCAGGCTAACCTCCAAAGTTTCAAACATTTACAGAATTTATTGAATTGTTTTTTATAGGAGTCAATTCGTCAATTGTACAGAAGGAAACTGAAAAGCATATGCAGTAACTAAAAATGTTTTAATATTTTGACCAAACTAATAACTGCAAAAATCAATATTTTTATAAAGAATACACTGTGATTTTGTAGCACAGTTATGTGAATTGGTGTAAAAGTTGGGGAGAGAGTCACTATAAATAGTTTGCATGAATAAATTGAAATTGCTGTTTAGGACAGCAGATCAAAGTGATCAGGACTTGTCAAACAAACAAACAAAAAAAGTTCTCATGAAATGTTATAAAAAGGAAGGAAATTCAGGTATTAGAAGAGCTAAAAATAATGCAATATTCAGCTTCTCTTAATCTGTATTAAAAACAAAGAATCAAACAATGCTTATTCTGGGTCTGGCAAAACTCCAAATGCTTCACATTTGAAGCTATCTTTTCAGCAGCAAATCTGCATAGCTGTCAAAATCAAAATCTACTTCAGGACAGCTACTGGATTGTTGCCCAGAAAATAATTGACACTAGTGCCTTGAGCATGTATATACTTGCACACTTTTCATGTGCAAGCGACTGTCTACCTAGATTCAAAAGGCTCGCTTTGATCTAGAGTTACTCTGATAGAGAAGTATATGCAGGAATAGCCTTTATTTATAAAAACTGTGTCTCTATCAAGTATGAAGATGTTAAAAGTGCTTTTCAAAAATATGTCCCATGTATATGTTTTGTTGATGAATCATATTGTTTCTTTTCTCACTGTTGGGTTTTATTGCTCTTGAAGACATTCAAAACAGCACTTTAATTATGTCAAATATGCCTTCTTGTTTCTTTGTTTGTTTGTTTTTCCTACTTTATTCATTTTAAGCTGGTGTTAAAACACAGAAGAAAAGAGTAACAATCAATTAAGTCTTTTCGAAATCAGTATATTAAGACACTCTCTTGTTCTACAGGAGGTAGAGCAGTAATAATGATGCATAATTTTTACACACCATTTGCTCATTGTTATTCACCAGTCCTCATGAAATAAAATTTTGTGCAAACTGAAACTGTGGGAGGTATTCCTATAGGAAAGTGATCTTGATCTTTATTTAACATAGCTTATCAGTTATAAACTAAAACGAATGCTATGACAGCCCCTGACAGCCAGTCAAATCCTTGACATCCAACTACAATCGTTACATGGCTCAGTCTGTCTGAGAGCAACTCTTAGTGCTGAATACCTTACCAGTTTTATTTCTCCATTAGAGTTGAAAAAAGAAAAAGAGCATACACACTATTGCTAATCCAAGTGTCAAAGTCCAGTTTCTCCCAAACAAGTTAGTAAGATATATGTGTTTTGTGCTCTTATGTCTTCTTGTTGTTAAGGGCTTTCTACCAGGGGGCCTACCTGCTTTGGGAAACAGCTGATGGACTCCCACATCATTTTGATATTTCACAGCTTTAAGTTCAAAGAAATACTGTGAGGCATCCAGTGGACAAGGGAAAAATCTAGGAGAGAACTACTGAATTGGCAGTACTTCCCTGTTGAACCTCTACATATTGGCTGTCCTATTTTTTCCTTGGTCATTACAAATGAAAGAATAATATAGGCTGGATATGTACCCTCTACATCTGTCTACCCACATGTCTATCCATAACTATAGCTTTGACCATTTATTTTCAAATTCTAATAATTATCATTGAGTGGTGCTCACCAAAAACGAAGTTAATTTTTCCATGGCATGGGAGTTGGAACTAGATGAACATTAACACCCCTTCCAACCCAAACCATTCTATGATTCTATGATAGTATCTCTAGATGTATTGTTTCACAGTCTTTGTCTTGCTGACATATTTTATAAATAGGTGAGTGTTAAAACAGACCTTGTTGAAGAGCTGTCTGCAAATCCTGGCCCTATGTTATAAGACACATTGAGACTTCCCTTCCAGCTGCTGTCTGGAGCTGCAGGTCCTCCCATTGAACTGTTAAGTGAAAACCAAGACAAACACACTTGACCAGTGGACTGAAAACAGAAGTTCCCTGAAGAGTTACTGTGCCTAAATCATGGTGGATTTACAAAATTCTTAAAAACATCATGCCAGCAACAGATTGTTTTGCATTTTCCATGTTTCCTGAAGTACACACTACTACAAAAGAACAATAAATACAAGTAACAATACAGTTAGCATAAAAATGTTAATTGCACATTTGCAGATATTAAATTCTGAAGAGAAGAAGGGGACTGATGTATACTCACCGTAGTAACACTTCTGCATCATGATATCCAATGGGATGAACTGGGATCTTTGGAATCCCTACACCCTCTTTAAGCTTGTATCTGAAAGTGTACTCTGAGAAACCAGAACAAAATGTCAAGTTTATAGCATTTTTATCAGCTTCTATCAAAAATAGGTGCACAAGTCCATGGGGCCCAATGAGATACATCCACAGATCCTGAGGGAACTGGTGGATGTAGTTGCTAAGCCACTGTCCATCATATTTGAGAAGTCGTAGCAGTCTGATGAAGTTCCTACTCTCTGGAAGAGGCAAAACATGACTCCCATTTTTAAAAAGGGAATAAAAAAGAAGACCCAGTGAACTACAGACCAGTCAGTCTCACCTCTATGCTTGGCAAAATCATGGAGCAGATCCTCATGGAAACTATGCTAAGGCACACAGAAAAACAGAGGTGATTGGTGACAGCCGACACGGCTTGACAAAGGGAAGATCATGCCTGACAAATATTGTGGCCTTCTATAATGGGGTGGACAGGAAAGGAGCAACTGACATAACCTATTGAGACTTGTATAAAGCATTTGACGCTGTCCCCCATGATATCCTTGTCCTTAAATTGGAAAGACATGCATTTAATGGATGGACCACTAGGTGGTTAAGGAATTGGCTGGATGGTTGCACTCAAAAAGTTGCAGTCAACAGCTCCATGTCCAAGTAATGAGTGGTGTTCCTCAGGGGTCAGTATTAGGATTGTCAGTATATAACATCTTTGTCAGTGACATGGACAGTGAAATGGAGTGCACCCTCAGCAAGTTTGCTGATGACACCAAGCTGTGTGGCACAGTTGACACACTGGAGGGAAGGAGTGCCATCCAGGGGAACCTGGACAGGCCTGAGAGGTAGGCCTGTGCGAACCTCATGGAGTTCAGCAAAGCCAAGTCCAAGGCCCTGCACCTGTCTCAGGGCATTCCCATGCCCAAATACAGGCTGGGTGGAGGAAGGATTGAGAGCAGCCCTGAGGAGAAGGACCTTGAGGATGAGAAGCTCAACATGCGCTGTCAATATGCACTTGCAGCCCAGAAAGCCAACTGTATACTGGGTTGCATCAAAAACAGTGTGGCTGGCAGGGTGAGGGAGTGGATTGTCCCCCTCTGCTCTGCTCTGTTCTTGTAAGACCCCACCTGGAGCCCTGTGTTCAGCCATGGGGCCCCCTGCACAAGATGGATATGGACCTGTTGGAGAAGGTCCAGAGGAGGGCCACAAGGATGATCAAGGGGCTGGAGCACATCTCCTTTGAGGACAGGCTGAGAGAGTTGGGGTTGCTCAGCCCGGAGAAGAGAAGTCTCCAGGGAGACCATACAGTACCCTCCCAACCTGGTCTGGTGGGAGGTGCCCCTGCCCATGGCAAAGGGGTTGGAACTGGATGATCTTCAAGGTCCCTTCCAACGCAAACCATTCTGTTACCCTGTGATTTACCTATATTGCAGACATCCTTATTTATTTATTTATTTATTTATTTATTTATTTATTTATTTATTTATTTATTTATTTATTTTCTGTATAGTGATTTCTTACGCCTCCAGTAGTAGTCACACAAGCCAGCAAGATTTCCAGAACCACCCCAGCATTCCCAATTCCCAGCACTGGCAGACAGAACTGGTAGGTGCCTTACTTGAGGATGCCTACAAGGACAAGACATGCATATGGCGCCAAGTTTCAAAAGACTCCAGGCTTCTCTTATTTTTATTACAGAAATTTTACTCCCTGTACAGAGAATCTTAAACTGTTTTTCTACTAGGAATTTAGGATCAGTAAGGAAACATACCTCCAAGCAATCCTATTACTCCTCTTTGATGACAGACTATAATCTAGTTTAAACTGGTCCTCCTAAGAAACACAGAGATTTTAAAACAGCTATAAATTCTCAGCCATTATCTACTGCTTTGCAGTCTGTAAACCTATACACGTCCTGTTTGTCTGAGAGCTATAAAGCTGAGATTATACAAAGAGATTTTCCTAAAAACTTACTTTCTCTGCCTAGCTCAAACGCAACCACTTCAAAGAACATACAGATAGAACCCAAGCTGCAATAGGAAAATGAACAACTGCTAAAAGTCACTTTAAATAGCTTTTCCCTTTGCATCTGTATCAAAAATACATAATAACTTCCAGCACCAGTTTAGAAAGTACTTGATGGCCCAGGGTGCAGATATCTCACCTTTTGCAGGATAGCCAGGTGTCAGAGGGTCCCCAGCTCCATTCAGGTTTAACACATTCCCACGCTGGGCTCCTCCACCTGGAAGGTTCCAGCCATCTGGATAGGGATCTACTCCTGGGGCACAGTAGTCAGCAGGGTCTGAATAAAGTATGATCCCTTGGGCTCCTGCTAACATGGCATTTTTAACCTGTAAAATTATTTGCCTTTAACATTTTTTTTAAATGCAGTAATAACTCGAGATGATGCACTTTACTTCCACGGGGACACAGTTTTAGAAGCTGTATACGTGGAAGGGTGAAAATGATCATAGACTAAGTAGAAGAACAAAGCACAGCAAAGCATGATCCAGTCATTATTTGTGTCAGTCACAACTTTAGTCATAGCTCAAGGCTATGAGATAAAGCACAAGGCCTAACACTGAGGCACAAGAACCAACTATTATCCTCATTTCCCATGATCACCAGTTTTGTTGGAATTGATTTCTAAAGCCAAATGAGTAGCTATTCAATGTCTGTGCATCAGATTCCTTCTTGAATGCTTCTTCAAAATTCTGTAGCTTTGTGGATGAAAAGTAGTAAAAACCTTGGCTCTACAAACTAGAGTTCCCCAAACTTCGTTCTTCTTGCAAGAACTGCCTAAAATGTGAGTGTCAGGAGATTAATACATTTATCTGTTCTTATGGTTTTGAAAATTATTCTTACAAGGTAGTCATGCTGGATACATTTGAGGCTTCCTTCTTCTCATATGTTCCAACTTACAGCCCTCATTAACTCCCGTTGGGTCTGCTGCGATCAGCATCAGAAACAATGACCCATAGAGGGAAAAATTAAACACAACCCTTACTTTGTTTCCTCTGAAGATCTTCCCATATCTGGCAATGACAATCTTTCCTGTACAGTTAATTCCCATTTCACGCTCCAGCTTAAAAAAATCTTCAGTGCGGCCATAATTCACATATACCAGATCTGACTGCATAGAATAGAAAATTTGTTTGAGGAACTGGTCATTCAACAAAATATCTCTTTTCCAAAATATGCAGTTTTATTCACTACGTATGATATATTTTGCACTTCTACAAGTAAGTTCCAGTACCCCTAAAAATAATAGCAAAATATTTCCATAGTATTATATAGGAAACCTTGGCTCAAACTGCTGGCCTTTCTATATTATCTAGCGCTTAACAGCAGCCCTATTACTGATTTCAAGTTACAACAACTTACTTTGCTAAACTGACAAATTTCTGTGGATATGAAAAGACTGTGCTATTCCTTGGATATACACTCACCATTATATAACTTTATTCATATATATATATGTGTATATATATATATAATGCAATATTGTCTCTGACTGATCCCTTCACGATGAATTATCAGATTAAGTGAAGGACTTTTGTAGCCTTTGAAGATATGTGCTTAACCCAAAATGTCTTCCAAATTGATTTATATATTGCTATTTCCATTTTAGACTTATGAAAATCCTTTCCATGTGATTGAGTAACATGGAGTAATTTAAGATGTATGAAACATTTCCCTAAAGTTAAAAGCTTTTCATTTGTTTTGCAGTTCAGATCTCCAGCACTTTGAGAACATTTTTTTTTTAAATAGAACTCTAACCTTCCCACAACACCTGGCCTAACTATGCTTTCCTTCACTTATAACAGTGATTAATTAAAACTTCTACATGAAATATTTTGAGAAGTGGGAGAAATCTATTCCATCAAGTGTTTAACAAAATATGGATTCAGCTAATAATACTCTTTTTTTCTTTTTTTTTTTTCCTTTTCCTTTTCCTTTTCTTTTCCTTTTTTTTCCTTTTTTTTTTTATTACCTCTGGCATTCCTTGTGGTGAAAAAGCATTATATGGTGGCAGTATATCGGTAACATTTTCATATCCCCAAGGAGGTGGTTCAAAGGAAGATGTATTGAAAATCTATAAATAAATAACAGAAGTCTTTGGTCAGTTGCTGCACCTCTAGGCACAAGTTTGTACAATAAGTTGGGTTATTGCAAATGATATGCTAGTTTCCATAGACTGTCAGTGAAAAATAGAATGCTAACTCTCATGCATAACTTCAAACAAAAAACAGCTAAGGATACCTAGCTGATTTTTTATAACAGAATGCAGCTGTGCATACTTGTCAGAAGATGCTCATCAGTCACTGCCTAAACCTAAGCAAAGAAATAGCTGAAAATTGCCAAGAGGTGGTGGCAATAAAAAGACAGTTTGTCCATGTCATCACAGGCATTTTTTTGTGATTACTCCCACTTGTATTATTACTCATGTCTTTACCCCTTTGGTAGTTACGCTCCACTTGAATGTGCAGCCCTTCATCACTGCCTATCTGTAACACTCATGTTGTCTCAAGGTTTACCTCTACTCTTTGTCACCTCGTAAGATTCTAGTTCAGAAACTACGTTAGGAAGTTTCTGGAAGAATTTCTCCATTCTTTTACCTCTAAGCTCATATCTTGCCTGAGCACATATTCCTCAGTTCCTACCAGGGCCTCCCTTCCTATATGATGTGATACTTCCCTAGCAGTTCCGGCTCCCCTCTTCACTTAGGCTCCCTGGCAGATTGTACTTCTACTTCTTTGTTCTCCTGGATCTACAAAATGAAGAAGGTGGCTAAGGGCAGCACCTGTGTGACATTCTTTACCTCAGCACATTATGGAAACAAAAATTGCACAGATATTCAAGCAGACACTAGATAGGTACATGGAAAAGAGAGATAATGCAGTTACTAACTGGTTAAATACTTGGAAGAGAAGTCTAATAAGGTTTCTTAAAGAGACTAATTGCATCATGTCCAGTGGACATCTGAGCTGAAAACACCCAGACACTGGAAGAATTATGCACATCAGACACTGTTCTTTGTTCCTAAACTTCCCTGTGCATCCACTTAGAGCTGTTTATGGAAACAGGATATTGGTCTAGACGTATTCTTAATCTGAACCACTGTGGACATTCTTACATGTTATGGCCTACGGGTGTCGAGTCCCTGCTTCTCCACACATCCTCCCTCTGCTGTATGAGGCACTGAGATTCCAGCCACTTGGCTCTGCTCTGCTGCAGTCTGGAAAACCACTTCTAAATTTGAGTTCCCTTTCCACTGGTATTTTTATCACATCATAAAGTTCAATGCTGGGATGAAGGGGTGGGAAGACAGTGGAAGATGTTGTTTCTTTAAAGAAGCCTTACATAATCATAGTTTAATCATTAAAAAGATCACCTCATTGCCTTGATCATCAACTACTGAGATGTAGTTTGGCTGTGTTTCATTTGGGTAAGAAAGAAGCACATCATAATGAACAAGTTCTGCTGAATCCAATCCAAATTCCTTCCACTGGCCTTGAATTTGTTTGGCAAGAAGAAGATTCTGTTTGGTTCCTGCGAGGTGAGGCAACTTGGTAAAGGAGCTAGAACAAAGCAGAAAGTCACTAGTAAGCAGTAAGTGCAGAGGAACACAACAACCAGCTTGGATCAGTGTGTCTAAAGCTCAAATTCAAGCCATAAGCATAAAAAGTAGTTCTTATGGTTAAAGTGGGGGCTATATGCCATGATTATTTATCAGAGTCTGTATCAGGATAAGCACAAAATGTAGTCAGAACAGAGGATCTTTCCTGAGGCCTTAAGATAAGTTTGCTCAGCTTTTCTGTTTGCATAACAGAAATAGCCACATCTACACACTAGCAATGCAAATCAGCATCAAAGACATTCAGCCGAAGAATATGAACAGTATGCGAGCAGTAGGAAAGCTACATATCCAGAAAGGACTTCTCCAAGTACATTGTTGGCATAATATGTACTAATAAGTTTAACTTGAAAATCATTATGTCAAGTTATCTGAACATATTTGTGTTTTTTTTGTTTTGTTTTGTTTTGTTTTTTCCTTAATCAAAAGCCTAAAGAACAAAAGTCTTCTTAACAACATTTACATCCAGATCAAATGCAAAACATAATGGTGATAAATAGTCAGAAATGATATCCAGCCCTTCTGGACTACCTGTCTACAAAAGCTTGTCTACAATTTGCTTGGTCCACTGAACAAATGAATTATGGTGAATGCAGATCAGCCAGTGGGGTACTAAGCACTACCTTTGGATTCCCAACGGGCCACTTGTTAATGGCTAATCAGTTGCCGTTAATAAATAATAACGAATACCATTGATTAGTACCACTTGAAACTGTCAGCGCAGACAGTTTTCAACCCATCCAACAGCTTGTTTTTCGGTATGCTCCTCCACGGCTTCCGTATTAGAATGCAGTAGGAGATGATGCCCAAAGCCTCGACAGAGTCAAGGATGTTACGCCCACTCTAACATCTCCACTCAACCAGTCATTTCCTCACTGAGCGCAGGCATGCTGGTCAGGCTGATCACATAAATAAACAGAAAATAAATGCTGACTGTTCCTAACTCTCTCTATGTCTTCATGTTTCTGGAAACAGAGAAGCAACCTTTGCCAAATATATAATTTTTCTGCAGTTCCTGCTTTTTATTTGAATTAAAAAACAACAACAACAAACCACTATGAAGCATTTGGCCCACCATCAAGACAAGCAGACAAACCGGATATGATTAACATCCTATGGCCAAGAAACTTCAACGTAACTGCTGTCATCGGTCTGTACGTTGCCTGGACTCTCAAACATCATCTTCAGATACCCACCAATCTACTAGCAACAAATACGAAGTAAGATAAGGAAGTAAGATAAGGTCTGCAGATTAAAAAAGCTAATTGATGTTGGAAATGAAACCTTTTAGTTTTAGAATAAATGTACAGAAATCAAATTTGTCAATAAACCTTTGATGTTTATGATGCAGCCGCAGGCTTACATTCTGAATACCAAAATGTCACTAACCAGAGGTTATATATGTGAACTTTTTTAGTGAATATATGTGTTCCTTTGTAAAAGATATAAACATGCATGAGTGATTATGGAGCAAAACAAGAAGATATTTCTATATCTTCAGCATTTTAGATGTTTTGAAAGAACTGCATGGATTCAGTACAATGCAAAAAAGTATATTTAATAACCATTGCCACATGCAAGACTTTACCAAATATTCATACGCACTGTGTTTGAGACAGAGACCTTTACCTTCTGAGAAAGACAAGAGGGTGTAACGGGGTTTCAAGCACCCAATTAACAGCACATTATCCAATCTTGTCACGCTAAAGACATTATCAGTTGCAACTATAGATGCAACAGAGTGCCATGCAAACTTTGTAGCATTTTGAATATGTGCATTTCCTACTTAGTCTAAGTAGACTATTAGATGCTCAGACAATGTTTGAGGAGACAACATGCAGATTATTAATTAAATGTAATTAATATCAATCAGATTTTCCCAAATGCAGTAACATCATCTGTCTGAGACTAAAGCAAAGTTCTTTTCTAATGCTAGAGCTTCAGAGACTCACAGGGAAAATAACAGTCATACTACTTAAAATCAAAACTATGGGATATCTTCATAAGGAAAAGGCATGACAAGCACTAGCAGCAATGCAGCTTGAGGGAAGTACAACCATGCTAAAAAAGCAGCTTCAAAAATGGGGGGAAAAGAAAAAGTGGTGTTGTATCTCCTTTTCCTTCTCCTCAGACAGCCTGTACAAACCAAATAATTCCAAAGCGCCTTAACAGCTCTACTTCTAGAGGCTGTTTTTGGAGCTCATTTTATCACTTTCTGACTTTTGTGACTGATAAAATTATTCAGGAACCAAGATGTGCAGGGCTTACCGAAGGAATTGCTTGATGTTTTCGGCTTTCATTTCATCCACAAGTTTCTGTCTCACATTTTCATAGATGTCTGAAGTGCTGGGGGGGGGTTCATTTGGTTTTGTAAACCATCCTGAAATACATTTGGAAAGCTTCCCACTTAGCAAGAATCCCAGTCCTCCCATATTTGAGACAATGTGCAGCTTAAATACTGAACAGCCTCATAAAAACCAAGAGGATGAACAGGGCTTAGAGCACCCTCTGTCAGTAGCTGCTGACTCAAACATAGAAATGAAATAGAAAAGTAAAATATATGCAATTGAATGAAGTGCAAAAAAGTGGCATTATTAAAAGAGCAGACCCTAAATTTCTGGTGTGTGTGTATATATATATATATATATATATGTATTTAGGAAGATTCATGTCTCATTAGTTTTAAACTTCAGTGTAAATTGTGAGCTATCTGTTTGCAGTGGGAGAATTAAACTTCTGATACCCATAATTAATTTCCTTTAATTAATTTACATGGATATTAAAAAATAAAATCTGTGCATGAGCATATTCCAAATGAAGGCCTAAGATTCAAAAGTCACCCTGTCAGCATTACAGTAATTATAAAATATGGGAAGGGTGGGGTTGGTCTGTTTAAAAGTTAAAGAAATAACATTAAGGGGGACCCTGGTTAGTTTTAATCAGTTGAAGATATTTCAGTTGCCATAAATCTGAAAGGAGAGATTATAACAAATGTATGAATTTGAAGAAATCAGTTTTACTATTACAGCTAGGAAATCCCAAACTAGGAAAACTGTCACCATAAAGCAAAGTGTATGTACTGCCACGTGCACAAAATATAGAACTTGTTAGACTTAAATGCAATTGTAGCAGCCCTCTGAAGGGTGATACTGGATCAGAGCAAAGGTCCACCTTGCCCAGTTGCCTATTTTGGAGCATAGCCAAAAGATGATACTCAGGGAAATGTGTAAGAATAGCACAAGAAACAGAAATTTGCAGCTCGGGGTTCTCTTGAATAAAATTAATGCTTTGTATATTTTGTAGCCCTCATGGATTTTTCTTTCATGCTTCAGCCTTAAGTGAGTGCTGCAGCACAAGATAAAAAGGGCAGACTCAGACATGTAATTTCAGGTTTAAAATCAAATACTGCAAGTGACTGCAGAGAAGAATCTGATGTTCTGGTGAAGTACATTGTACATGATGGAAAATTCAGCAACTCCACTCTTGGCTGTCAGTCAAAACTCCTCCTCCTCTGCATTCCGTCCTTAATTTCTAAGATAACAACTGAATAGGAGCATTTACATGGACCTTCTGTAAAATTCAGGAAAGAAAAATGAAAAAGAAAAAGAAAAAAAAAAAAAGCTTTGAGGTTTTGAGGTTTTGGGGTCATAGAAGTCTCAAACTCTTCCATTAACCTCTCCTCTTTGAACATCTGACTGCCCATTATGGGAAGCTGTCAGATTACTGGGGCTCATCTTCTACTGAAGCATGCGACCGCTCTATTCCTGTGAATCCCCACAGCCCCAAAATGCTAGAGAGAACAACCTTTCAGAAAAACAGTGCTGCAAGTGAGTGTTTTATAAGGTCCCTAAAAAAGAGTAAAAGCTCCCTGACGGGGAATTAATCACAACACGGGTCACGTATAAGTATCCATAGCGGGCAAAGGCTGCGGGCTGAGCCCCAGGGGCTCCGTACTTACCCATAAGAAAGCCCAGCAAGAAGCAGCCCAGCAGACCGGGGCAGCCCAGCCACGTGCGGACGGTGGCCCAGTTCCTGGCCATGCGGGCACTGCAGTGGCAGGCAGCTCTGCAGGCAGCAAAGAGGGCAGGCATGCAGCTGCCTTCCTTCTCCTCCTCCTCTTCCTCCTCCTCCTCCCGCCCTCAGCCCCGGGGCTGCCCCTTGCTCCTGTGATCCTTGGCTCTGGTCCATGACTAACCAGCCCTAAGCCTGGGATGAAGATGTGATTTTCGGAGTGCAGTGCAACACTTCTGGTTTAGTCTCTCCCCACAAGACAGCCTGTGTATCTCTGTAACAAAGAAACAGCTAGCCTGTACTGCAAGCAACGCTTCACTACTAATTTCTACTCATTTCTAATTACCAAGACTTTCTGCTTTTGAAGGTTCCTGTTTTTAGCTTAATCACAATCAGTGGAAGTGGCCAAGAGAAGAAATGGAGGAAAGGGAAAATTTGTTTTCTCTTTACTGAAGAAGCACTGAATTGTTCCCCCGAGTAATCTGTGGTTACAGTAATCCTTGGCAAGTGATAAATACAGCAGCTCAGAATACAATTTAGATTAGCCAATAGGGACACTTCCAGACGTCATCCAATTTTCAGCTCGGAAAAGTTCCAAAATAATCTCCTGTTTTTGTTTTTAATTACTTTTTAATTTTGGATTACAAGGTTCTGCAGATCTAGTTTTGCCAATCTAATTCCACCAAATCCATCAGTATCTCATGGCAAAGGACATAACCTCAGCCCAAAGAAAAGACAAGATGGTTTATACAAACTCACCATGACCCTGCACATCTCTCCCTGCTGATGGGTTCCTGCACATCACTGAAGCCAAGACTGCTCTTTTTGAACTGAGGAGCTGCCCATGTGAGACCTCTGATGGGGATGAGAGCAGGAAAGCTTTTCTGGAAGCCCAGAGCCTTACCGCTTACTCCTGAGAGACCAGAGGAGGCTGATCCTGTGAAAGAAATGGCAGTGCTCCATCTATCAAAATTTTCTCAGATAGACTATGTTGACATGAAAATATTCAGAAACAGCTAGAAACACCACTTAATGTACCAATCACTTCACCAGGGCTTTTCAGGAAGGCCAGAGATTAGAGAAGAATTTCACCAATTGGGTATTCTGCTCCATCCAAAGCCACAGCTTTAAGAATACGGCTGGATGCCTTTGTTCAAATGATAAGCACGTCTAGTTTCATGATCTTTTTCTTTTTTTTTTTTTCTTTTTTCTGTCATTTCCCAACTGCTCAAAAACCATCACAAATTCTGAACAGCAAGGCCTTTTCACACCAACATCTCACTTGACATGTACAAACCAGATGGGATTCCACCTACAGAAATTATAAAGAATGAGCATATTGATGTATTATTAGCATTTATATAGCACCACAGGTGTAGGACTGGCACATAATAGACAGTAAAGTGACAAGAGCTATTGGAGATTAATGCCTAAATTAGACCTCACATGATGATAACATCAGTGGGGGAAGAGGGTAAGAATAGCAACACTGAGGCAGTATGAAGTGTATTTATTTCTATGCCAACATCTTTTTAAAGTGATAATGGCATCAGCAATACTGAAGTTGAACCAGGCATCTCATGTTTAACACTGCAGCAACCAAGTGGCTTCTACCTTTTTAGACAGAGCCCTAACACTATTACTTGTTAGTTGTGGCATATTCTTACACTCCATGGATTGGCCACTGGTGGAATATTTTATGTTCCTTTTAAATGCAAGAATAAAGCTATGCCTTGAATTAGCTTGGTATGTTGTGGAGGCCAGTGTAAGGAGTGGCATTACTATATAAAATATTCTGTTGTCTCACCTGGATCATATCTATTTTACATATATTTATTTGAAATTGTTTGCTGATACATTGCAAGAACATACCTGACCTGTCTCATCTACGCACTTATTGGGAAGATGAGAAAAAAAAACAAACATATAAAAGCTAAATAAATCTCAGTCATCCAGGAGAAACAGAAGTCTTGGCTTGATAACAGAGTTTATAACTGCTTCTGGTTTCTGTCTTGGAAGGGGGAACAGGGTGCAGCAACCTAGATTGTTCTTAGAGTATGCAGAAACAGCAGCTAAAACTAAGTTTTTCAAAAGGGAGAGAGGATAAATCTACTCCCTCCTATACCCACTTTTTCTTCAGTGCCGAAGCTGAAGGAGGGGGTTCTCTTTAGCATTTTTTGCTGCTCATTTCTTATCCCCTTATCCCCCTCATTTTCTACTTCTTTGCCTCTCTTACATTCTCCCCTTTGCTGGTCCTACCAGTTCTAAGACACATGGCATAACAAATGCAGCATCTATCCAGCATGTTCACTGCTTCCTGAGGCATGCCCCGAGAAACCCACAACACACATTACCAAACCACAAAGCCAAAGTCATAGTGCCATGTCTTACATATGCTGAAGCTCCTCAGAATAACTGAGGCCAGGGAAAAATGAGCCTGACACTGTGAAAGCTGAGGTACGGCGTGCCCAGAATGGAAAAGCACATCTGTGAGGAGGTGGGAGAAGCTGCTCCAAACCAAAGCACATCTCGCGGCTACTGAGCATCTCAGTAGCCAAGGAGTGACACCTATTGACTATCTTATTCTTTTTTTTTTTTTTTTTTTTTTTTTTTCCTGCTAGAATTAAGATATTATTAGTGTGAGATGCTGCTATGAGTGCTTATCTGATAATAGTTGTAACTATATAGTAAGATAATAGTAACTTTAGCCTAAGGTTAATTGAAGTTCAAACCTGGGGCTGATGGGAGACACAACTGATCCTAGGTAGTCATAAAGTTTATGCATGTCAAGTAATGGAAAGATTACTAGGAAAAGAGATCCCTTTTCTCAGGCCAGGCAGCATTACTGTGAAAAAGACCCACAGCAGAGAAACTCCTGAACACACGGTACTTCTTTAAGCTACTAGCACTTCTACAACTAGCAAGAAAACTCTTGGTTACTGTATGGACTTTGTATTGAGCTTGGGAATGGTGAGAATGGCTTGTGTTGAGAGTGAAAACACAAGTGGGGCCCAGATGAAGCTGGGCAGAACTTGTGGATAGGTACATACATTGTTAGTTAAAAACAACAAGAACAAAACAAACAAAAACCAAACTAACCAAACAAAAACCCAAAGCAAAGCAAAGAAAACCCTTTGGTAAACTAGGTAAGCTCCAAAAATGGCAAGGATATACAAAGCAGATTCAAAATTAGTGTACATTTTTGTATTGAATGCATAACAATGCTATGCAGCACAGTACGTAAGAATACATAATACACAGAACAAATGCCACGGCTTGTAAATAGTGGGCAGTTGTGCTTGGCAACTGGGACCCAAAGGTTAATATGTGCAGCTGCTTGACCTGTTGTTTGAATAAAGGTTGAACTTGTGGCTTGAAAGATCAAAGGGCCCTGCTTTGTGGGGAAGGCAGATCTTGCAGGCAGAAAGACAACAGGGGAATGCTCAACTGCAATTTCAAATCAGCGGTTTCCTTCTGGCTCTACCAGTTTCACAGTCTCCCCAGAAGTCTCTCGTGGCTTCTGCAGTCTATCTGACTCCCAGATTAAAAGGGCAGTGGAGTTTGATGCCTTGAGTGGGGGTCTCTGCTGTCCTGAACTTCAGAAGCCCCTTATCAGATTCCAGCTAAAATGAAGTTTACATTGCTGGCAGCTAAGTTCAGCTTGCAAACTTTGACCCTTTCTTCTACAAGAGGAATGTACCCAGTGAGGCAGAGAGAGTAAAGGACTGCACACAGAACATAAACCAAAGGATATGTTCCAGCAGGCATAAACTGAAACAAGATCTGTCTGGATTTAAGGAAGAGCTTTTCCATCACGAGGGCAGTGAAGCACTGGTGCATGTTGCACAGACAGGTTATGCAGTCTCCATCCTTGGAGTTCTTAAAGACCAGACCAGCTAAATAAAGCCCTGTGCAACTGGGTCTGCCTTCAGAGCTGACATGGCTTTGAACAGGAGTTTGGGCTAGAGACCTCATAATATCTCTCCCAGCCTGAATTACCCTATGATCATATGATTGAATGACATTCTTCTATTCATCGCAATCCCCTGCCCTCAGGAGCTGCTGTCAGTCAGGTGAAAGAATACAGTTTATGCATGCTTTGACTCCAGCTGTTAAGTGTTGGCTGTTCTGCTCCATCACACTGTTTTCTGTGGTCCAGCAGCAAACTTCAAACAGCTTACCTATGTGGAGATGAGCACCCATCTCAAAGATCTTGACGGCTCTGTCTTAGCTGAGCTACCACTTGAAGAAAGATCTGTGGTGACAGCATCCTGATTCAGAAATGATGCTGCCAGGTCAACACATTTACCAGCCAAAAAGCACTGACACTGCTTGTTTCATGACAGAGAGGATGTATTTTAATACAAGTATAGCTTTGACTTCTTCAACACATGGGTATGCACGCCTTCATTTCATTTGATTTACAAAGTGCACATAATGGTTACTGTATGGAGCTCTTTGGAAAATTTTGGCAGCATTCTCTTTGATGATAAAGAAGTACTTTCTTTAAAAAAAATAGCATTGCTTTTTCATTTCTCTTAACAATACAGCTAGGTTCCTCTTTCTGCTTACTAAATACTTCTAAAGCTCTTGTCTTGTAATTAAGTCATCTGCTGCTGTATATAAATCAATGATGTACTGGCTTTGTCTGCAGTGACTGTGAAAGCTATATGAGTGTTAGCAAGGAGCTGCCTGGAAGTAGGATGTTAGTTCTTCCAAATAGTAATTAGAGCATATTAAAAAAAATAAAATAAAATGTGAAAGTTGGTTAGAATAGGCAATTTCCCTACTGACCACCTCTAGATGAAAACATCTGTAGTTACATGAACAACTTGCACACTTATGCTTGGGATAGTCTGAGAACCTGGAGGCTGCAATGCCTTTATCTAAACTCCATGGAAGACTGACAAAAAGAAATGATCCAGGGAGAATAATGATCCTATCAGAATTTCCCTTACAATTCTCAAATACTGAAGAGTACCTAGCCTTCTATTTTTAATTTTAAAAATGGATCAAGAACTTCAGGATGAGCCAAATGCTACAACTTAGAGCTTGCAGAACTAGACATCTGCACTTCCTTCCTTACAGAAAGGAAGGATTGTGAGGCAATGACATTTACAAGTTCAGATGGGTTACCAAGGAACACTTATCATGTTTATCACCTGCTGTCTGTCTTCCCCTATCTCAGCATGTCACAGATAAAGATGTGAAAATGTTGTAGCAGCTCTCAAAGAAGCCACTAAACAGCCAAAAGTTGCAGCCCAGTATTTGAGAAAAAAAAAAATGGAGTGTTAGTTTGTCATAACGATTCTGCAGATCGTGGTGATTTCCTGTAGTGGGGTCAGGAACACCCAACATGGTGCTGGATAAGCTAAGGCTGAGAATAACAGTGGCTATCTCGAGAAAAGTCAGCCCCGAGTATTAGTCAGACTTCTCACGTTGGAGATCAGAAAATCTTCATGCTGACAAAGGAGTGGGGCAACACGCCCACAGGAAGCATGGAGAACTGGGCTTTGGCCTCAGATTTATTTAAGTGACTGCATGAATGCTTAGGGAAAGAACTGGACTGAGTGCAACTGAGAATCTTCTCTCAAAAAAAAATATGTAAAGGTTTTCTTTCAAAATTCAACTGCTTTCTTTCAAAATTCAACCGCTATAGGTTGTAGCTGGCACTGAACAAATGCAGGTCACAAAGCAGACACAACTCTAGGAGAAAGCACTGGACAGTTTGAATCCCATCTTACCAAAACATCATGTAAATCGCTGTGTTAAAAACACTCTTCTGGGTACCTCCCCTCTCTGTGTGAAGGATGCCCTCAACTCCTTGACCAAACTAGTGGTAGTTTGGTTTAGGATCTGAAGGAAGTAAAAGGCCTAGACCCTGGCTGGGCCATAAACTTCTCTAATTCCACCCTCTTCTTGGAAAACCCACAACAGGAACAGGTGATATGGTGTGCTTTGATGAGCACACTACGATGAGACTGGAAACCAGGATATCAATCATGCAATTAACACATGAATAGCAGCAGGTTCTTCCAAGACTAATTATCATGGAACAAAAGAAATTGTGGGTACAAGGAGTCATGCTTACCTTTTCCATTTTTTATAATCTGAGTACAAGCCAACAACATTATTCCATAACACTGATAGTCTGAGGGAGCTGCTTTGGGCTCTCCTTGCTAAGCAGCTGGCTGCACGGCAGTGATCTCCCCTCGAGTTGGGATGCCTCTCAAAGATGCTTACTCCTCCAGGTTGGGGAACACCCTAGCAGCTGCAGATCTTTGGTAAGTGACTGATACTGTGCATAACTTGTATCAGAGGGCATTAAGTTATTGTACTGGTAAATTTGAATCTTTATTATATCTTCCGTGCAGTAAGTTGAACCTTGCCATCGGACTTAGTTAAGCTTCATCTTTACAGTATTTTATTTCAATATACCATTTTTGCTACTAACTCTAGTGGTGATTCTTTAGACAGTTTAAATATTATCCATGACACCCTGCATCAGCCAACCTGTACCTTTGCTCTGTTCTGACGCACAGAGTCAAGAGGAGAGAGCTTCTGTTCCCATGTCTTATTATTTCTAGTGGTTAGGAAACAGCCCACATAATATATATTTTTATACATATATATAGATGCTGCCATATCTAGCAGCACTTAAAGAGTATAACTAGCTTAATATTTTGTGAGGTCCTAGTCTCTGCCATTTTTTATTACGTACCAGCTATTGCCAAAAAGGCCCCTAACTAAACTAAAATGAAACCATGCTGTGGTTAGGTCAGAAATATTTATGAATAAATTAGGATTTTATGGAAAATCCCAAATCTATCACAACACTGAAATCCACCTGATCATGGCTCAGTCTTCTAAGAAATGGTGGAAGTCTGAGCTGAAATGGCAAATCAAATTACATAAAAATATTTGCCATGCAAGAGCTTATTAAATCCTCCAGTAGCAGACTGTCAGAATAATTGACCTGATTTTCTGAGACTTTGGTCTGATCTTTATTGTCCCATTGTACTCTTTTGAGTAGCTTGTTGTACGAGTAAGCTGCATGCCAAAACCAGAAATACAGATTCCATGAAGATATTAATAATTTGGTATCCTCTCAAATTAAAGACATGATGAATTTTCCTTGCTAATTGTTTTCATATGAAAAATGCCTTGTTATGGCAAGAATTAGCACAAGTACGTTTGGGATAAGGGAATAAAAATAGGTCTTCATCTTGAAAGACATGTTTTGTGAGATCATAATAGTCTGACAAGATGCTTTGCCTTGTTTTTACGCTGGTGACTAAAGGCTTCTTGCTCAACTCTATTTGCAAACAGCTGAAAGACTGCATGTAAAGAGAAGAACATCATGAATGAGTATTTTGGGCTGGCAGCCCCAAAACTTGTTAAGATCATGATACATTCCTCAGGCAGCATGTGACAGTTTTCCC